GGTAAAAATGCCTTAGGAATAAATTAAGGAAACTTGCTTGAATGCATATTTTTAGATTTGTTTTTAGTCTAATATATATTTAGACAGGAAAATTAGTGTTAAAATGACACAAAGATTTTGAGTGTTTTGAAGCAGTGTGTCTTACAAGACCCCCCCAAAATTAGGTTGATGGCTTAGCATGATAATCATGTAACAACTGTTTAATTTCAACTTAGAGAAAAAAGCCTGTTTATTTCACTTAAATGTCCAACAATTCCTTTTTACCTTCCACTTTTATGTGAATATAACTTACAGAATATGGTTTTCAGCTTATTGTAGTAGCTGATCCAGATAAATTCTGTTGGAAATAGTGGAATCTAGCCAAATCATTAAAAGATAATTGCATTTCAGATGCTGCGTTTCTGGGGGGGGGTTGTGTTTGGTTTTAGGGTGCTTTTTTGGTTGGTTGGTTTATTGTCTGGATTATTCTGTTGTTAGTTTGGTTTTTTTAAGGTCTTACAAATGCAATAATTTTGAGAAATTCTTGTCTTTCTCTTTGTAGTGAGGCAAAAAATACTTTTGATACATAGGACTGTCAACTACACCAACTGAAAAAAACACCCTGTTGTTTTTCTTAAATAGTATTTTTGTTGTTATTAGGGCAGCAAATGAAATAATGGAACGGAAACGATTCTTTTCATAATGGATAAAGATTTTATGATCAGCAGCATTTGTTTTTCATGTAATTAGTGAAAGGAAAACAGTGTTTAACAGATGAAAACAGGGCCTAAGATTTAGGCTGCTGTTTTCTTGAATTTTTTTTGTCTTTGTCAAAAATTGCTGATTTGTTTTGAAATTTAATGATGAAGGTGTGTTTTTGAAATGTCTTTATCTCAGTGGCAGTATTTCAAAGGACTTTTTGTTTTCAGTTTACATGTGTAATGGAGAAAGCAAGTCAGGTTTATCAAGTGAAATATCACCTGGGTTCTTTTTTTTTATCATTTGCTTCCAGATTTTTTACAGAGGTAGGAAAGCCTATCATTAAATATTAGCTTTGTTTTTTTCAAGCTCAGCTGATGTAAAATGAATTCCAGAGTTGGAGACACCTATGTTTGTATTTCTTTATGAAGTTGTTAGTACCTGTGCAAAACTTAGGCTTTCTAAAAAGAGGCGTGGGAGGGGAAGTGCACCTGATTATTTAGGAATGACAAAGAGTTGAAATTAACATGGACAACTGACAATACAGATTTTTTCCTTTATTGCAGAAACTGAAACTTCCTCTTTAAAAGGTGCAGTGCTGTGAAAACTGTTACTGACCGTAGAAAAATGGACATGTTGCAGATACTCCGTAAAACCACAGAACGCTTAGAGTGTGACCACTGCAGCTTCAGAGGAACGGACTATGAAAACATACAAATTCATATGGGTACCGTTCACCCAGAGTATTGTGATGAAATGGATGCTGCTGGTTTGGGTAAACTTATATTTTATCAAAAAAGTGCAAAACTGTTTCACTGCCACAAATGCTTCTTTACCAGCAAGATGTATTGCAACGTGTATTATCACATCAAAGCACAGCATGCAGCACCTGAGAAGTGGAATGAGGAGCGGAAGGAACAACGGGTAGAAGGAGATTCAGATTCATCCAAAAAAAGTGTCACGTTGGAGCCACAGAAACCTACCCTTTCCCCTGAGTCGCACAAACCTGCCCTTTCTCCTGAGCTCCCCAAATCTGAACCTGTTGTTTCCCCCAAGCTTCAGAAATCTTCTGCGTCTCCAGAGCCCCAGATATCTGCTCAGGTGACTTCCTCAGAGGCAGACAAGTCAGCCCAAACTGTATCCCCAGATCCAGAAAAGTCAGCCCAGGCTACATCTCCAGATCCAGAGAAGTTAGCCTCAGCTGTGTCCCCTGATCCACAGAAGCCATCCCCACCTGTGTCCCCCGATCAACTGAAGCCATCTCCTGCTGTGTCCCCTGACCCACAGAAGCCATCTCCTGCTGTGTCCCCTGACCCACAGAAGCCAGCCCCAGCTGTGTCTCCAGAGCCCCGGCGGCATTCCCCAGCTGTGTCTCCAGAGCCCCGGCGGCATTCCCCAGCAATGTCTCCAGAACCCCGGCGGCATTCCCCTGCTGTATCACCAGAGCCCCGGCGCCATTCTCCTGCAGTGTCTCCAGAACCCCGCAGATACTCCCCAGCTGTGTCACCAGAGCCAAAGAAACCTACTCCAGCAGTATCCCCTGAACCACGGAGGTATGCCCCAGCTGGGTCTCCTGAGCCACGGAGGCATCCCTCCCAGATGCGTAGGCCTGCTTCTGCTTCTCCTCCTGAAACCCGGAGGCCTGCTTCTGCAGTTTCACCGGAGTCATGGAGACCTGGTCCGACTGTTTCGCCTGAGCCCTGGAGGTCTCACGAGGTGCAAAAGTCTCCGACGGTTTCTCCCTGGGCTCCAAAGCCTGCCATGTTGGTGTCCATAGAATCCCGGAGGTCTGCCCCTGAGTCTCGAAGGCCTGGCCCTGTTGTGTTGCCAGAACCTAGGAGGGTTGTTTCTGACTCGTGTAAGTCTACGTCGTTTTCTGAATCCCAGAAGTCTACTCTTGTTTCTTCTGAGCCATGGAAACCCATCTCATCTGTTTACCCTGAAGGCTGGAAACCTGTTCTGTCCCCTGATACATGGAAGCATTCTCCCCCTGTTTCTCCTGAGCTTCGAAAGTCTAGTCACACTGTTTCCTCAGACTCTTGGAAGCCTCCTTTCTTTCCTGAGGTCCGTAAGCCCGGTATTTCAGTATCTCCTGAACCTTGGAAACTCTCTGAGTCACGGAAATCTGTGTATTTTTCTGAAACTCAGAAATCCACCTCTGCTGCTTCGTCTGAGATTCAGAAACGGGCTCATTTCCCTGAACCTCGGAAAAGAGTGCTGTTCCCAGAGTCTCGTAAATCTAATCCTACTGCTTCTACTGATGTCCAGAAACGTGCCGTCTTTTCTGAGCCCCAGAATCAAATATCTACTTCTGCTTTTTCTACCGAAGGTCAAAAACAAGCCCTGTGTTCTGAAACCCAGAAATCAGCTCTTGTTTCTTCTGAAGTCCAGAAGCACGCCCTATTTTCTGAAGCCCAGAAACTTGCTCCCATTTCCTCTGAAGTTCAGGAGTCTGCTTCCTTTCCAGACTCTCAGAAATCCACATCTCCTGAAATTCAGAAACATGGCCTCTTTACTGAGTCCCAAAAACCTACTCCTGTTTCTCCTGAGACACCCAAACAAGTTGTTTTCACTGACTCCCAGAAATCTACTATTTCCCCTGATGTTCAAAAGCACGCTGTATTTTCTGAGATGCAGAAGCCTGCTGCTACTTTATCCTCTGATGTCCAGAGACATGCTGAAACTACTGTACCTTCTGAAATCCAGAAGAATATCCTGTTTTCCGAGCCTCACAAGTCTGCTTCAGGCTTTTTCTCCGAGCCCCAAACACCTAGTGAGTCTGGCGAGAGTGACTTTCTTTCTCACACTTTAGATGATCAGAAACCACTGGATGACTTATTCTCACAGGATGAACAATCATTATTAGCCAAAGAATCACCAGAAGACATGCTATATTCATGCCCAAAAAAGAAGCCCAAGAAGGAAAACCAGGAGAACTCAGATTCTGAACTAAATATCAGTGAGTGTGGAAAAACAGAGTTGGACTCAATGGAGATAAAGGAACAAGAATCCAACAGTGACCAAGAACAGTATGATATGGAGTCATCTGATTATGGCAAAGAGAGCAAAATGGATGCAACTACTCCCACGCAGCCACAGTGTGTGCTGCAGTTTACTGAAGAAAAAGAGGCTTTCATCTCTGAGGAAGAAATAGCAAAATACATGAAACGTGGCAAGGGAAAGTATTACTGCAAAATTTGTTGCTGTCGTGCAATGAAAAAAGGTGCTGTCTTGCACCATTTAGTTAACAAGCATAATGTTCAAAGCCCATACAAGTGTAAAATATGTGGCAAAGCTTTTCTCTTGGAGTCTCTTCTTAAAAACCATGTTGCTGCTCATGGTCAAAGTTTGTTGAAGTGTCCCCGTTGTAATTTTGAATCAAATTTTCCTCGAGGCTTTAAGAAACATTTAACCCATTGCCAAAGCCGTCATAGTGATGATGCACCTAAAAAACACTTGGACAACCTTGAACCGCTCGAAGAACAAATTTAATCTTTTTTTCTCCTTGTGCTAGAAAAGCTAAATTTACAGAAGTGTTCAAAGTGTTACTGTATGTTAACCAAGTAGTTTAGCTGATCTGACAAGTCAGGAGATGCATGGTTTATTGTGCTATGTTTACCTTGTCTTTTATAGCTGTATTACTGAAGAGATTTACTTTTGAAAGTCATTTTAAATACGTGTTCATGTCTTTGTATTACCCATCAGTAGAGTCATATTTTATTTTTCAGATGTACTATGTTTTTGAAACCAAAATGGATACGAAATAGTTTTGTAAAGATTTGTAAAACGTATAGGCAATTAAGGACTGGAATGGCAAGCAATCCATATTTTCCTGTGAAGACAACTTGTTTTTTCACATTTGTTAAATGTTGTATTTTTCAAAATGTTTTTATCAAGTTCTCAAATCTAAAATTCTCACTAAATTGAATGTGAATGAGCCAGGTATGAGAAACTACCAATGTCCTGGAATAATGATGCCCTGACGTTGTAATTGAGTGTGCAGTCAATTGTTGGAAATTCATTGCACTCAATTCTTCGACTTACTTGTCTCAGATTTAGAAGCATCAAGGTACCTATTTTGTGATTCTGTGTTTTGGCCATGTTTTAAGCATGTACTAATATACATTAAATTGATAGATTAACGTCGGACTATGTATAGCTCAACACTTTCTCTTGATGATTCAGATGTTTGTAATGTCAGACAACCTCTAATTTTCTTGTATTTGGTGAAATGTTATGCTTTAATGTTTTAACAATAAAAAGAAACCCAACCTGGTGTTAGCCATTTTCCTTTTTTTTTTTTTTTTGAAATCAAGAATGAAACCTTTCATGTTCAACATATTCTCTTCTAAGTATCTTTGGCAACAAGAGATGCAGAATTACCGAGGAATTCTGCTCTGAATGCTTCAACTTCCCGGTCATCAGCCTGTGAAAGAAGGGTTAGTCTAAATTTCATGTCTGTTTTAGAAAAACACATCATATGTAAATGAAGGAAAACATGCAAAACAAGAATTTGTGCATTGTTATTTAGCATGCTGTCCTGTGTGATTTGCATATTATCTGTTAAAAAAGCATAAGTACTTTATAATTCAGAAGGAATATAGATTTTAAGTGGAGGTATCACAAGGAAGGTTTAATTCTTCTCAGGCTAAATTATGCATATACTTAAGGTGTTGTAAGTATTGGTTTAGAATATGAAGGTGTTAGTGTTAAACAGTAAAAAAGAGTGTAAGCTCCCATCAAAGAGCTCTTGGTTGGTTTGACTGAAGCCGGTACTTTATCCCTTTTGTCTTTCAAGAGGGTTCTGGAAGTATGGCAAAAGGTATTTAAAGCTCTGTACTTCAATGATTTCTCAGCACTGCCTATTTAGAGAAGGAGTTAACTTCCTACCATGTCGATAGAAGTAACTTGAATGCATTCTGTGACTTACTAAAAGCCAACAGAAATAATTCACTTGACAGCATAGAATCATAGATTCATTCTCTACTTCCTAAGTATTAGCAAATACTATTTCTTGCAATGACAAATAATACACATTAATGAAAGTCAGCGTAGTGAAATAATTTCCTAACTCTGCAGTATATCCTTAATATATACTTGGGTATAACACAATATTCAACTTTCAGATTCTCTGAATTTTTAAAGGAGGTTACTTTAATAGGTAAGCATATGACTGAAAAAATGCTTCTGTATGGACTTTTAGTCGGTTTCTTTTATACAATCCCTATCCTTGGAGATAAATCTTTTCTGTGTATGCTTGGAAGGATGCAGGTTTCAGTCATTTTCACAAAGAATGGATGAGGGAAAGTACAAAATGAAAACAGAATAAAGAAACACCAGAAGGATGTTAGCTGTGGCCATACATGCTATACAAACTTACCTTCATCTTTTTATTGTAAAAAGAGGTTAATAATTGTATGGAATGTCCAGTCATGTTTTCAAAGTGCATTTTCACAAGCATTCTCTCAAACTAAAAGTAGTCTGTAGAGAACGCATTTCATATTTGGGAAGAGATTCTTGCAATTACTAGTTTCAGTAATATTTTCTCTTATTCCAGCATACCTAAGAGTATCTATATATATATATACCTAGTATACCTGTCTAGGTATATCTGTATGTTGCTTAAGCTCTAGGTCAAAGAAATCACATAGAATGTAACCTAGAATGTGAACTTATATATAATGTTAATGGTACTGGTTGGTGTTATATTAATGATTAATTGGGGGGGAGGAAATATTATCAAAATCTGAAGACCATTTAGGGTTCAGTGTTTAAAATAAGAATTGTAGGCTTCACAATTGCCTATTCTGAGAAAGATTATAAGAAGAATTAAATTTTAATTCATATAGGAAAAGCCAAGTCAAAGGAATTCTTGCTAATTTGTTCAGGTTACAGAATCTGCTGGGAACTTGCTGGTTTTTTCTTGTGTTGTTGAGTTAGTCTGTTGATCTGACTTGTCTTGCAGCTGCAAGTGCTGGTGCAATGGAAATAAATGTGAGGGGAACATTTCTTCTGAAGGTAGAGGCCCAAGTCCGGAAGGGACAGTGAGCTCAGGTGGGCTTATGGTAACTCAGAAACTGCACCCTCCATCACAGACATGCTAGCTAAGTTGCTCATCTATGATGTCCTGGCAACTCAGTTGCATTATTTCTTCACATCTGCCCCTTACCTGTCAGTTGTCTGCTGGGTTGGTCTTTTCTTTCGCTGCCTCTCTACCTTTGTAGTCTATGTTACTGAATGCTCCAGGCAAGATTCTTCTTAGGCCTCGTGAGAGAGTGCCAAAGCCACAAGTGCTAACCCCTGACAAAAAGGATAAATTGTGTGTGTATGCTTAGTGTTTCATTAGCTGAGCTCGGAGCCTTGGAGTCATAGCTAAGACCTGCTGTTCTGTTGAAGCTGAGGGGTAGCCCTCATTGTACCTGGACAATCCATGACTGCAGCAGAGGTTTGTATAGGTATCAAAACTAGATGTTCTGATTCCCTGTCTCAAATGCTTGTATTAATATTAACTCTTCGAAGTGCACAACCGTCTGAAATGTCAGACTAACGCTTCCCCCTTTTGTGTCCGTGAACATTTGACTGTTCCTAACTAGAAGTACATAGATGTACGGATGCTGTACCTTTCAAGCTTCAGAGTTTAAGCAAAACACAGTGTAGAAGCAGGCACTGATTCCCAGTGGGTTTCTCCAGTGCTTCAAGAGAAAATTTAAAAATAGTTTTCTCTTTGTATACTCAGCATTTAGTTTTATTCCTTATTCTTCCTCCATGCACAGCTGTAGAACTTGAAGCATATCGAGGAAAAACAGTTCCTTTTAAGTAACTTCCAAACCTGCATTTTAAAAGTGAAAAGAAAAATAAATCATTTAAATCTAATGATGAAAATGAAATGCTTGTATTAAGAATAAAGATACCTAACACAGGTACCTGTCATTGTGACTTTGTAGAAGACTAGAAGTTTTACCAGTTACAGCATCCATACGTCTATGTACTTCTAGTTAGGAATAGTCAAATGTTCACAGACACAAAAGGGGGAAGCTTCTGGCAGCTTCTCAGAGAAGCCCCCCATCCTTCTGTAGCCCCTCACTACTAAAACCTGGCCATGCAAAGCCAACACGTAAGTGCTGCCTTAGTGGAAAAAGCTTGAACAAGGAAAACATGGGACTGTTACTGGGTGGGGTGGGTGGATTGGTGACTGCAGACACGGAGAAGTCTGGGGTACCTAGTGCCACCTTTGTCTTGCCCTCACTAGCAAGGTCTCCCAGGCCTCTGTGATTACTCCAAGGGTTGAGGGAGTGGAATTACTACCATTAGAGAGGGTTGAGTCAGGAGTTACTCAGTCTCAACTCGTACAAGTCCATGGGACCCTATGGATGGTGTCCCAGGGTGCTGTGAGCATTGGCTGATGTCTAAGGCAGTTGTATCTTTGATGGAGTCACTGGCATTCTATGAACATTAATACTTATGGTGACTCTGAGGACAGAATCTTTTTGAAAAATGAAGCAGACGGATGTACATCTTAAAGCTTCTTCAGTTCTCCCTCTTCCTGCAGAGTTTCCAAATATGTAACATTATAAAGGTTCAGCAATGCAGTTGCTACAGACGTGAGTTGGCTTGGTGGTGCTGTTTTGTTACGGAGAACAGGAAAGCTGGTAAGGACCAAGTGAAGAGTTTGGAGAAAATGAGCTCTGCAGTTGAAATTATATCTCAGCATGTCAGTAACACACATATTGGTACTACTGCCTCATAGGTGGGACAGAAGGTTTTTACACAAAGACCATATGTGCACTAAAGAGATAATGTAATGACCTTTCTGATGTGGCTCTGGCTTAAGGGGTTACTGCTCTCAGCTGTCTGATTCCCTTTGTCTGTGCACTGTTCCTTAACCCCTTTTTGTTGAACTGTTCACCTGTGTGATTTCTAAAGCAGAAACTAGTCTCTTAAAATGTCTTGTCTGTAAATAGTTTTTTTTCAAAACCAGAATAATTTGTAAGTGCCTGCATTTATGGCTAAATGAAGCATCCCAGTGTGGTGCAGTTGGGGTATTAACATCCAGAAGGGGCAGAAGTCAGGTCGGACTGAATGGTAGGTAGTAATTAAATATTTCTTAGCAAAAGAGCACACACATAATAGGAAAAATTTCTTCCAAAAGGGGTGTTCAGCCAGACAGTCTAGACCGGGAGTCTACTGGTGGAGTCACCATTCTGGAGGTATTTAAAAGACATGTAAATGTGACACCTGGGGACACGGTTTAGTGGTGGACCTGGCAGTTCTACATTTACAGTTGGACTTTATGATTTTAGAGGTCTTTTCCAACCTAAACAGTTCTATGATTCTGTGATTCAGTGTGTAGCCATGATTCTGTGATTCTGTGTGTAACCTGTGTGGACCAACTGCATGTCACCTCAGGTTTCTTCCAGGACCCTGTCACTGAGTACTCTGGGACTTGTATCAGCTGAGCCACAGGCCTCCCTGTTAGATGAAATGCTTTCCACATCATTGCGAGGCAAATCATTGTGTATTAGAATGTTAAATGGTATTCCTTAAAGTTAAAATATTTTCCTGCATAAATTAATTATTTATGTGGAAATTATACCCAATGAATTGTGAAATACTGATTTCTTCTTGTTCCAGATGCTGTTCTGCTCTGTACTCAAACTACTATACCTTAATACTCTTCCTCTGTACTCTGAAACCAGTATCTTGGTCTAAAAGTCAGCATTAGAAATAAGTGACAATATAGAATATTACCTTCTCATAAAAAAAAATAATTGCTGTAGCTAAAGGCAGGGTGGAGTTGACACAAATAAACTCTTAAACAAACTAAACATTCCTGGTATGCATGTGAGAGAAATATGCATTGGACAGAAATGGGTTATGTGTGTACAAATTCAGCGTGGCTTTACTAGTATCACTTGTTCAGATGTGATTGTTTTGTTACTGCTTTCTCTCTTGTCTGACTTCCTGAAGATCTCAGAGCTAAAATGATTTTCAAAACTGGAAACAAAACAGACTTTATACCCTTTGGACTCTGCTAATTTCTGGGGTGTTTGCAGTAACTAAAGGAGTGCAAAGTATTAGTATTAGTGTGAAATACTAAGTCATGTGTTGCCAGATTTGATGTACATTTTAATCTACACAAGAGAAATATTGACACCTTATTGAATTGTAATATAAAGATTTTTATAATTGATTTTTTTAACTCTAATTCAGTATGGATGATTTAAAATGATCATTTAAAATGATCCTGTACTCTGACATTGCTGTTTGTGCATTGCTAGATCATGTAATTAATTTTTTTAGTTTCCTTGTTATAAGATTCTTTTTATTTGCTCTGGGATCAGCAACGTATTTTTTGATTGGGCAGTACCTCTGCTGTAGCTGCAGAGAAGTCTGGCTGAGGGTTGAGTGCATCAGCCTGCCCACATGAACACTGACTGCCTGACTTTGTGCTGGGAAGCCTGGCAGGGAGCACGGGAGGTGCCAGCCACCTCCTAGTCTGCAAATCTTGCTGCTACTACTGCTTTCTCCTATGCTAACAAATTATTATACAGCATAGTTAGGCTCTCTAGATGCTGGTGTGCCCCACACGGGGCTCATGTGTCTGGGCAGTGCAGCCTTGTGGGGTGTGGGATGCACACACTTCTGCTCTTCTGCCACCCCACCAGGTCTGTGGGGCCTTTGCCTCTTGACTCAGTTTACTATGCCTTTAACCTCTTTTAAGAAGAGCTGTAATATCTGCCAAGATAAAAATAAAGTGATGGACAGGCAATGATAACAGCGTGGTGGTTTTGCACACATGACAACTATTATGACCTAAGGATCTTGAGTTTTGATTGTTTTGATCTCTTGCCCAGAGAAGTTGTGGATGCCCTATCCCTGGATGTGTTTGAGGCCAGGTCGAGTGGCCAGGTTGAGCAACCTGGTGTAGTAGGAGGTGTCCCTGCCCATGACAGGGGTTTTGAAGCTACAGGATCTTTAAGGTCCCTTCCAACCCAAACCATTCTGTGATTCCGTGATTCTGTGCTGCACTAAGTGCTGGTTTATCTTGTTACCACTTGCTGCTCTCTGGAACACAGTTTTGGAGAAGTTGTCATTAGAGGGAGCTACAGAGCAATTTATGAGAAGATCGGCTTTAAACATATTAAATACATGTGGAATAATAATACACAAACGATTGGTTCAGAAATTACTCTATACTTTTGTTCTTATTGTGGTGAATTAATTTTGGCCCTCCTAAGGCTGATTTCCTTGCCACTGTATCCTAAGTCCTCTGTTTTAAAGCACTTGTTTGTTTTCTTTGTCACCTCTCCCTGCTGTGCAGTATTTCCGTTCCCATATCACATGCGTTATTTACAAAGATGTTTAAAATATTTATGTAATTTCCAAAAAATAACCGCTCTTTTGTTTCCTAGGTCACTACTCCTCTCATCTTGGTAAGAAAAATCTCTAAGGGAATTACAGAGGAGGCCTGCCCTTCCCATGGTGGCACTGAAGTGTTGGGCTGTACTTGAAGCTCCCCAATGCCAGCCTGCTGTGCCAGGGACCTGTGCTGTGCAAAAGCTCTGTAAGTGCAAAGAGGATTTAACTACACTCCACAGCAGCTGGTGCACACAACAGAAATGCAACCTCTGGCTGATGAGGGTTTAAAAATCTCAGACCTGTTTACCAGCAGAAGGTGAGAGAATGAAGCAGGGCCACAAGCACTCTCTGCAAGTCCTGCTCATACAGCATTAGAGCTGGCCCCTGCTGCTTTTGTGAAAGATCCCAGCACAGCTTGTCACCCAGCGCTTACAGAGGGGAGGGTCACACAGAAATTGCGCAGTGATTCACAGTCACACAGAAATGCACTGGAGGGAACTAGTGAGATGGAAAAGAAGAAATGTGAGAAACCAAATTTAGATCCAGGTTAAGCTTCCCCAAGTCTGAGCAGAGAGGGGACTGCCTCCAAGCAGGAAACCTGAAAATACAAATCCAGGTGTAGCTGGCACTTCCTGGGTTTTGTATGTTTCCACTTCCAGCATTGACAGCACTTTCTTGACTATTGGTGGATGGCAAGACAGTGACTGTCTTGCTGTCACTATCTTAGAGACATTTATTTCTTTATTTTATCTAATATCAAATCAGATATAAGGGAGAAATTATTTACTGTGATGGTGGTGAGGCACTGGAACAGGTTGCCCAGGAAAGCTGTAATTGCCCTATCCCTGGAAGTGTTCAAGGCCAGGTTGGACGGGGCATTGAACAACCTGGGATAGTGAAAGGTGTCCCTGCCCATGGCAGGGGTGTTGGAACTAGGTAATCTTTAAGGTCCTTTCCAACCAAAATGATTCCGTGATTCTGTGATGTGTCTGTGCTCTGACACACTGCCTTCAGATGCAGCCTGCCCATCTGCAGTCATATTTCCATTTGACATCTTCAAGGGGAATTTTGACTGAGTGAGGCTGTGCAGTGCTTGACTTACTGATGCAAACACTGTTTGCAGATATAAAACACAAGCCCTGAAACTTCTGTGCATCATTTTACATTGACTTGCTGTGGTCTGGGCTGTCTCCAGCATTTTTCCTCCCTGTACTCATCAGGTAATAATGAAAGTGAATAAGTCAAATGACCAACTTGGCCTTGACATGATCATAATGTTGTTGAAAGTGGGGGGAAACACAAACATACTGCCTTGGCCATAGGAACCTTCCTGCTTCATTTACAGTAAAATAGAATCAGAAATCCTTAATTCCTTCACTTTCAGACTTCTCTGATACACATGCACTCTAAGGCATTGCACAAAATGTTAGGAGAAAGAAGTCAGAAGACTTTCATAATTTGATCTTTCAAACCTGTCAATGAGAAATCCTTTGAAATTTATCTTCCCACTAAAGAAACCCAGGTGAAGCTGTAGGGCTGTTTTAATTGTAATAAAAACCATCACCAGAGACGGTCACATCACTTGGAAGCAAATGCTACTTTTGAGTAATGATCTCTGACTGCAAAATGAACTGACAAAATAAGAGTGATAAATGGTCTTAGGCGGGATTGTTGGCATAGCCTTCGTTGTGGTTTTGAAGCAGCAAGGAAGGATTCAAATACCTATGCATTTACAACAGAACTGGAATGATTTATCTGCTCTGGTTTATGTCAGCACGTTTCTGTGCAAATAGCTGGAATGAAGATTCCAGTTTTCCTGATAAATAGCAGAAAATCAACCCAGTGCCACTGGTGTGTGCAGCATAGCTCACATTGCTTTACAGCAGCTGCAGGATGCGTTCCTTACACTTTGTGTAAACAAAGAGATATGATCCCAGCATAGGGAAGGGCTCCTGACAGGCTGCCGGTGCAGGAGCCGCCCAACTGCCTGGTTAAGAGGTAGCAGGCACTGGAGCCTTTGATTGCTGTTGGCCTGAGCTGTATCCTACTCAGATTTCTTAAAACTGGCTATTTTATTGTTTGGATATAAACTGGTTGCTGAATAGATGGAATTTAGGTTTGTTTAATTAAAAAAAGAAACAGCTAACTAATTGAGTTAAAACTATGTGGTTTATGGCAGAAAACGCCAAAGTTAATGACAGTTACCATCTGTTTCATCAAAACACTTATTTGCTTTGAATATGTCTATTGTCAGGTCAGGACTGGTTTTAATGTCTTTCTCAAATTTATTCCATTAGGGAGGTACTTTAAAATTAAATTACCTTGTTCTCCATAACCTCAAGCAGACAACAGAGTGGTGGTGTCTGCAGTGACCTTATGGTGCTATTTCTTGAAAAGAAAATATTGCTGTGGCTTTAATCACTGCAAGCTTATCTCTGTGTACAGGGAGCTTGCATGTTTTTTTCCAGGGATTTATTCAAGGAGGTGTGTGTGGTTTTGTATGAGGCATATTGCAAACATGAAGGGCATTCTTTTCCCCAGAATCTCCTTTCCGCTACCTGACCATGATTTAATTCCTGATACATCAATTCTCAAAAAAACCCTGAAGAATTCACCTCTCCCCATGTACTTATGCACAGATTCACGTGTACGTGCACACACCTCGTTCCTGAGAGCTGTGTCACAATATATGAGTCAGCTCTCTTGAGAGTCTTGCAATACACTTGTATGATATGGTCTGGAGGAACTGCGTGACTGGACATAGCACAGGCTTTTTCTGCATGAACTTACTTGGTTGCAATATGGGGCCATTTATCCCAGGCTCTCGCTGTACCACTGGGCTGCCTGCATTCCCTGGGGGATGCTAGCACAAACACCAGTTCTTGCCTAGTTTCCAGGAGGGTTGTGAGGTATTTGAAATAAATGTTATGTGTTGCTATTGGTAAATAGAAGAGGCCAGGCTATTGCTTAGGTGATAGAAGCAAGGTGGCTGTGAAAAATGGGAAACAAAAATAACTTCTTTTAACAGCCCATCTGTCTTATTATATAAACATTCTCCAAAACATTAATTTCTGTGGCAAAAGTATCACTGATGCTTTTGTCATTTCCAAGGCTTGAAGGAATGTATGAATTCATGTGTGCTGAATCCTATGAATTCAAGGAAAATTCAATGGATATTTAATCTGCTTCTGGAAGGAAAAATTCTTCCCTCTGCTTCCTTCAAAGAGAAACAAAAACATCCTTTATTATTCTTAGTAAGAGGACCGTGCTGCTACCACTCTACATAGTGAAATGACAACTTCTTGAAAATCCTGCTGCTCTTACATCTTGGATAAATACTAACCTAATGGAAGTGATAGAGAATTAGGCAATAAGATTAGAAAGAGAGATTGTTCCTGAATCAGTCCATTAGGATTAACCAGGCTTTGTTCCATGGCAACTTAGCTAAGAATAATCACGATTGCAAATAGTGCAGTTCCAGTTTCTTGGGTGGAGCACGGAGTAAAATTGCTGGTCTCCAAGTGCAGTTGTTAATGTGTTTGGCGGTTCTTAAATGTCACCGTGGCCATACTTCAGCAATTCAGTTAGAATTGGTTTTGCCATCATATGTGATGCATAAGGAATTCAAAAGCCTGCAGGAGAGCTGAGTTCATAAGGTCCTTGTATGTTCAGATTTTTTCTGGTGGAGCATGATTTCTGACATTAACGGTTGAGACTGACAGCATTGACTTTGCCACCTGAGTCACCAGTGGTACACGAGGCACGGAAGGAGTATGTGAGCAATGTGAGTTGGAGCAGTTAGGCTGGCACATTGGTGGGTCCTGATGATAAACCGGTTCTCAGGGATGTGGATCTCAGGTGGAAGAGAAATTCAAAACACCTTCTCTGTTTATTCGTGCTGCAGTGCCCCATTTTGGGCATGACTGAGCTGGGTCCAAGGAAAGGCAGTATCACCAGTGAACAGTTTGATTACATTGATCATGTCCAAGAAGAATACTGAGAATCTTTTAAAAAATGTAAACTTGCATTTCTTTATATTACTTGTTTTTACTATTCTACTGTACGCTCCCCCACCTCACATTGCAACATTTTTTTATATTACATGCATCTACTTGTCTAATCTGTGCTTGGAAACCACGGTGCTTTCTTAATTCACCAATCTAAACTAGCGTGAATAATTTTACATAATTGATTATGTTGTCACAGTCATTTAAACAAAGAATGCATTGGGCACAGGCATAGGTTAAAATGAAGGGCCCATCCCATCTGAGACATTTCATGGGCAGTGTAGTTAGCTGAAGGAGTAGTATGTGTGTGGTCACAATACTGAAGTTTCCATCTGCCATCCAGTTCTTTTGTCCTGGTAGAAGCCCTGTTGTGTGCCATAGTTTTGTCAGGAGGGGAAGTACACACTGCTTACCAGCTGTGTTTTGATTCCACTCACTGCCCGTCTGTGTCCACTTGGATGTAAACCTCTTAGGATGTCTGCCAAATCAGTCAGTTGGGGCTGAAATACTCTTCAAGATACTGGTTTAGGAAATATTTATGCAGGAACAACAAACAAGAAAATGTGGCTTCTCTGGTGTCCTTTGTCTTGTAGCTAAAATTAAGTTTGTCAGCAGGAGAGAGGAGCAGATGTTGTGCAGGCCACTGCTGGTGCACAGGCTCCAGGGCCAGCTGCAAGCCATGAGGGCCAGGGCTGCTGCTCCCAACATACAGCCCTGGGCAGCTCACACTCGCAGCACTGGGGTAAAGCTGCGGTGTGTGTGACAGAGTACCCTCCGTGACCTTCACCTGCCCTGAGCAGGAGGTAGGGCTGTCCTTGTGCCACTTACCAAGTGCATTTTTTGTTCTTCAATTTAAAAAAAAAAAAATTAGACAAAGATAACACACACGCCCCTTCCCTAAATTACAAGAATTTATTCAATGCTTTGTGCTTTTTTGCCAAGTTCATAAAGAACACCTCCTTTCTAATGCTTTGCAAAAAACCACTGATACGTTTTCCAGAACTGTATTTAATCTGTATATATTGAAGTTTGATGTCCTGCAGATGTTTGGTGAAATTCTAATAAAACAGCCGAAGTGACCCACCATGGGAATTTTATCAAAATCCTCCTGAGGAAAATTCATCCCAAGGGATGTGTCATAGGTCAAACAAAAGCTGTCACACCTCCTCCTTGTTTTGAAAACACCCAAAACAC